TATTTTCTACCAGACATATTTTAAAATAAGACTGATATTTTTCTGAAAATACATAATGAACTTGATAGTTTTCTGATTATAAACAGAGCGAACGAAATAATCGATGTAATTTTGACCCACTGATCGAATTTCAATACTTTGTAATAAATGCACTTATTCTCAAATTATCATTAAAAACGCTCTAAAAAAAGAAAGTAAAATTTTCCGTTTTATATATTAACTACCGACTTATAACCTCAATATACAGATTGTCGCGAGGTTTAAGTAACTATCAATATTAAATAAAATTGAAATTTCAAAAATTAAATTAAGCAAATTTTACATAATTGAATTGGTACCAGTTTATTTACACAAGTACTGAGCGACAAGCTTTTAAGCTCATTTAAATTGTGTATAATGTTATAAGTTGGTAGTTAAAATTTAAACGGAAAAATTTGATTTTCATATTTTTAGAGCATTTAAATAAAACCTTTTTTATTTTTACTCTTTGGTTATCTAATTAATAAGTAATCAATTAATGGGAAAGTATTTAAAAATAAAAAGAAAGCACCAAAAGAGCATTTCTACTAAATGGCGTCTCTAGCAAAAGTTTCGGACCGCGTTTCGGATATTTCGCCATATTTAATTTAGAATAATCATTACATTTTGTCTGTGTAATAATTATTGCATAACATATTCTTATACATAGTGTAGAAGTGCATTAAAAATAACTACTCCACCATCCTATATGGTCCGCTATATTGGATTTAGAATAACTTCATATTATTTTTCTAGTTACTCTCAAAGAGTCCTTTCATTTGAAACCCATATTGTAGAAGTGCATTAAAAATATCTGTACCACTATCTTGGATGGTCCGCATTATTGGATTTAGAATGACTTCGATTACGATTTAGATAAACGTGTATACAAAATTTCAGCTCAATCAGTTGAAGATATCTACTTCAAAATTGAGTTCAAAGATTCCACCTGAATAAACATGCTTACATATGCAAGTTTAATAAAAGCTTTAAATTTTAAAATTGCTATAAGAGTTCATTTCGTATTGAAAAAATACGTTATACAATAAAAACAAAATATATTATTATTTTAATTATCAACTAAACTGATTAGGTATTTTCTGACCTTTGGTATTTGTAACCTATAGTTATCGCTTATTATAAAACTAAACACTCACTGAACACAGATCAAACAGTATCACAGTTAGTTTGTCACTTTGACGACGAGAACATAAGTGCGGAAAAAAATTACGTCAGCGTTATGCGACACGGCGAGAAGTCTGCCAAAATAGACAATGTATACCGATCATAAATTCGGGAATTTCCCATTCCGTTCGATAGATGCCCACTTGGATGGATTTGATTGATCTCAGGTTTGGATGCAACGATACATCGAAAATGTCAAACATCGATATCGTCGAATAAAATGTAAAGAGAAAAAACGTAGATCAGTTGTCCAAATTTCAACATCCAAAGAATAGGTCATAGGTGTTTACGTCATTGATCCAACGGCATCTTTACATACCTGTAATATTGTTACAATAATTTGTTACCCTGATTTTTTTGCTTTAAAAATTGAAAATTTTAATAACGAGTATTATAATTTGTGCTTAATTTCATAATAATGTGTTATTCCGAATCCGATCGCAATCTATTTAAAACGGCAATAAAACATTTTCCCATTGTTTTCGAGCATGCCTTCTGAACGCCTTTTTCAAAAGAAACACGCATCGCATGAGATGATGACAAGCTCGAGAAATCAAGAGCTAAAACTATTTGTCTAAATCAAACGTAATTTTTTTTGGGTCGAGAGTGAGATATCAATAAATAAATAAATAAATATCGTGTAAGTACATCCGAGAAAAGTAACATTTGATTGTAGACAATACGTTTTCTAGTTCATCGTGTTCTTATACTCAGTATCCGCCACCAATTAATGGCAAAATTTATAAATTTATGACAAAACGAATTATACTTGCATAAGGTTTTTCTAAGATCTTTTAATTTTTCTTAAGACCTAAAATATATCGACGAATAAAGCCATTATATGGCTTTGTGAAGGGATATATCAATATTGACTGTATACATATTTGGGGGTTGCATACTGTGTTCAATTCACCAGAATATTCAATGTCAATATACAATATTATCGTCAACTAGGTTGGTTTGGAAGTTGAAAGTTAAACGCTTCTTAAATTCTCAAACAAATTATATAATTATCAGACCACTGAAACAATATGAAAACCATGAAGAGTATAATTTCTAGGTAAATAAATTTCGCTACACATATATCGAACTCAATATATTGATATAATTATTGAACCTTGCACGTCTAATTTCAAAGTTGCCAACCTTATGATAGTTTTTTTTTTTTAATTTTTGATATAGTTTTTTTTATTCAAAATATCGCCTATTGTTTTCAGAGAAGGCAGGGGGCCTTTTGTATCCTGGGGCCCTAGGCTACAGCCCAAAAAGCCCATATGTAGATCCGCCCCTGATTAGAGGAATATGTGCTGATGAAATTTTAAGATGTAATGTAAAAGAGTTTATTAGGCCTTAATATCTTTGCTCACAAGCCGGCTTACGTCCACCATATTGAAATTATAATAAAATCAGGTTTTTACAATGATCTTCTCAGCTAACAGTTTCATTCGATATCCCTGCTATGAAAGTGTCTAAAGATAACTAATCCACCATCTTCGGTGGTCCGCCATATTGGATACCTATAGAAATTTTATTTTCTTTCTTAGCCAACCATTTGATGTTCATATTATGAACGTTTACAATTATTTTTCAGTATACCTCATGATTGATATAATATTAAGTGCCTATAAGAGCGCCCCTCATATAAGATTTAAAATAATATCACTTAGTTAATTGTGTATTGTTATCTAGACTACATATGTGTGAAGTTTCAGCTTAACCGATTAAGGATAACTGCTTTAAAATGTAGATGCAAGATTTTATACATATATCTACATTACAGCTGGCAATATAGTAACAATTACCCATTTCTCCGTTCATTTTGTCATTCGCATATATTATGTCTTTGTTTAATTTAAAGTTTAATCGTAGATATGATGGAGACAAACATACTAAACCTATTTATATTTATATAGTTTGCTTTTTGGCGTGTCTGTTGTATGGAATTGCTTCTCTAGTTTTTAAACTAATTGCAAATATATATCTATATCCCACATTTTTGTTTTATTTATTACCTAAGCTACATGGAAAATTAAAAAACAAACTAAATCATTGTAAATAGAAAATAAATGATAGGTTATCTGCGCACAACATTAACAACAATAAAAATGACAAAAAAGCAAGGCAATTGCCCGAGTTTCACGTTAGTCACGTTTCAGCAAGCGTTGTGACTAATGTCATTTTCACTCGTAATTTTCCGTGAAAAGTTGTAGAAATAATGCCTACCTGCGTGTTTAAACAATGCACAAATTACACATTGACAATGAGAAAAGCAGAAAAAGATATTATTTCATGCGTAAGTACTGTAATTACTCTTTTTTTAATAAAAAAAATAATAAAACGTCATTGAACGCGGCCATTTATTCATGCATCATGTTCTATAAGGATGCAGCAGTTGAGACGTAAAGCAATATGTTTATCTCAGTCTAACAAGAGGTATGCTAAAGATTCTGAAGGGACATAATTATTGGTTGTATTATAATGTTATGTTACCACAATAAAATTTACGCTGTTTTAAAATCCAATAATGTACGGGTATGACGTGTCTAATATAATAAAACTATTTTTTTGACAATTTTAATATTAAGTATTTCTATTATTTTAAAAACGGAAAACTTAAATAATCGTCAATTTATCGATAAAATATTTAAATTTCGAACATCGATTCCATCACAAACTCCCGGTTCACTTTCATTACAAACTTTTTTAAAATTCCTTTATGGAACAATATTGACTACATAACTAACAGACAACTTTATACTAACAGATTAATTCATCACGATTAAAACACTATGGGCGTTAGTATATTTAAATTTATGTAAACCAACTAAGCGCAGCATCGTTCCTATGTTAAGGATTCCGTACATTGATAAAAAATAATGGTTAATTTATATTTGTTGGTAGATTTTTTTGTTATCTTGTATTAGATATCTGCAATCTTGAGTGGTTTGATTAATAAACTAGGTATAGGTACTCTTTTAGTTTATTTAAACAAAAATACAAACATTTATGATTATTACTGGACACCAAAAATCGTATTATTTAAAGGAGGGGGGGTAGTGCGAGGATGCCACAAGAGGTTATAAAAATCGTACACCCGAACCTGTTTAGCATATACTTTTATAGAAGGGTGAAATTTTCAAGAGATTCAAAAAAATTCCATAACAAACTACTTAGATGTTTTCTCGCAACTTTGCCCGCGTAGTTTATAGCCCATGTCACCTGCGTATAGTAGTTCTATTTTATTAATAAACATCATCAAACACAGCGCTGTCATATCATTAGAGTTTTAAAACCTGAGAGGGATTTTATTTGATTGAATGGGTATCGACGCTTCATTCGTCACTGTATTTTTACAATATACCAAAGTTAAATGATCACATCCGTGCGAAGTGCGGTCGATTTCTGATTCACGCTTTTATTGGTCGGCCATTCTTGAATTGACTAATGAGATGAGTACACAATAGCCGAATTATGCTTAAAGTGGGGAATTCACTAGACGGGCATCCCTGCGGGCAAGTCTGCAGACATACCCTCTGTACCTACCTCACTTCTATATGGTGGCCATGTCTGGCTAGTGTAAGACCATCGCAATCATTACATAGACTTATAGTAACGAAGTCTGACGGGCATGCCTGCAGACTTGCCCGCGGCCATGCCCGTCTAGTAATTTAAATATTTAAAACTACCACCAATTTGATTTACCCCTTTCATTGCAAACCCCTTGGACCCCTTTCATTGGCTTTATGTACATTCCTTATGGAAAAACTACATATTTGCGGCGAATGTGTTTTAATCACTTATTTATCTCTTTTGAAAAATTTCACGTAAATTGGTTTCGCCCTTAAAACGAGGTCCGGGATAAATTTTACGTCCTCGTGTCTTGTGACAGGTTCTAGTCTGTAGCGTCTTAGTATTGCAGACAAACATGTCTTCATCTCCATCATTCCAAACTTTTGACCTGAAAGCGAAAAGAAAAATTAAATTGTCCGTATTTGTACCCGCATGGAAAATTTTAACAATACCCGCCAAGTGCGTTTCGGACTCGTGCACGAAGTTCCATACCATCTAAAAAAACGGCAAAAGCATCATCAGCATATTTATACTACTCTTGCAGCTCAAGTCTTCCCTATGGATGGAATCGTCTGTTGTATAGGAGGCCCCCTTAAATATTTGTTTTACGTAACACTTCGTGCAAGAGTCCAGTAGGTCAATTCTACTAATAATCTCAACTGACTTGCGTATTGCAATTGTATTACGAGTATCTGCCCGAAACCCATTATGCAATGTCTTCCTCACACATCAATGGTGATAGATATTTAATATAGGACTATAGGTAGATAGTAGTATAATGGCAAAGTGCATGTCGTTGAGAGTCTATTGGGAATGGGACTATTATGTAAACATTTTCAGAATTGGCTTATTGCTCACACTTTACCGGCTTTTAAGTATATGTTATTATTGTTATAGCAGCAACAGAAATCATCTGTAAAAATTTCAGCTTTCTAACTATCGCGGATTATGAGATACAAACAGCCTGGTGACAGGTAGCAGTCTAAGTTGCTAGTTAATATAAGTGATTAAATAATATCTGATATCGTTATTCTTAGGGAATGCAATCTCGTTCTCGCGAGATCTCGGCCTTTCTTAGCGAGATTGATCTCGGTGGAAAAATGGGCGAGATCTCGCGAGTTTAACGAGATAAAAACGATTTATTCTAAGTACGGCAGCGCGAATTTATGCGGAGGGTTAAAAGGCGAAGTTTTACACATTTATAGTACTTGTGTAAGGGTCTTCTCAGTGACTGGTTATCTGACCAGCACAATAATAAGACTAATGCTGGGACATTTTGTGCTCCTTAAGAAGCTACTTTCAAAATTATTCGTCATAATGACATGTGAATTGAACTGAACATGCCTTTAAATTGATTGGTATATTTTGTTAATTTATTATCTAATTTCTAGTAGATCTCTGAGTATATATAGTTTTCTTTCATTGATAATGATCTCAGTTTAATAGTCAATTCAACTTAGTTAATGACTGGTTGCTTATTTCATTTCGTATTTGATTATATACGTCAAAGTTTAGTTTGTTAAAAGATTAGTACTGGATGACTAAGCTTTACTCGGCACTTTAATAAAATAAAAAAATTAACCTAATTAAATCGATTTATCGCCTTTGAAAGCCCCTACATACTTAATGTCATGAAAACTGTTGTAACCGTTTCCGAGATTATACAACCGTAATTTTTCTTTTAAAGGATTTGGATAAAAAATATAATTGTTTCAAAAATGTTAAATAAATAAAACTTTATTGAAAATACCCGTAAAAATAAATGTTTATTCCATAATATCTATAATTACTATATTTTTTCGTAATTTATTCAAATATTGTGATTTGAATAAATATTGCAGTGCAGTGCAAACACGCAAAAGTGCCAATCTCGTGAGATCTCGCGGTATTGATGTTCATAAACTGGCGAGATTACGCCCGAGTCCCAATCTCGCGAGATTGCATTCCCTATTTGATTACTCTTCAATAAGTGGAATTTGAAAAGTTTGTAAATAGGTATTTTATTGTGTATATACAGATAACTAAATAAATTAGCATCTAATAGAAAACTATTGGATTTATTGCTAATACAAAAATAAAAAAATACGCGTTTAATATTCATCAATAATCTACCCGATGGATAGGCAATCACAATTTAGTCATGTATATTCCAGAGAATTGGGTATTTATACTGGGTTTTATCATATTTTGTTTTACCTATACAGTTTCTTAAACCGGCGCTGAAGGGTATAAATGCAAAGGGATGTCTCCCAGCACTGTTCTCTGGCAGGAAACGGTCAGGGTTATATTTCAAGGCATCCTTGAATAAATCCTCTCGACGATGCATATCGATTATAAATATCAATACGTTAGTTCCTTTTTCAACATAATAGTTACCTGCAAAACGAAATGATTATAATAGCATGCGTTACACCGTTAGTACACTGATGCAACCGCATGCGAAAGCGAAACACCAAAAAGTAGTCAGATGACAATGTTCCAGATATGTTTTGTCTCGCTCTATTATTACCACGTCGAAAGAGCTACGTCCTTGTTAGTAAGGTGTCGTAGGTAACTGCTGAAACGTCGTTATACAGATGTTTCGCACCCGCAATAGTTTCACCGATATTTCGCTTTCACAAGCTAATGTGTCGGTGTACTAACGGCGATAAACACGAATATATTTGATACCTAGACAAGCCACTACCTTATTGTCTATGTTTAAAATCCATCGCAGTCTCTTTCAATTTGATAATTAAAAGATATTCACGAACTTCACGCTACAACTATTTGACATGTGAAGTTATTTTTAAAGATTTTGCATGAACAATTTTCTTTTCTTGGCAAAGCGATAAATACGTGGTAGCTATTGACAAAAGTCAAACGAAAAACTTGAATGCTAACTACAATATTTCGATGGGTTTAACCTGACTAAAAAAAATACTAATAACCTCCTCCTTTTCGATGTGGAAGTCTGTTAATGTGCATCACTAAACGCACATAGAAAAATAATTGTGAGTTAAGATATAAATTAAATATGCAATATTTGCAATTTAAATAGATGAACTTTTTTATTGCATTGAGTTATATTATATGTATGTCTGGCCATGATACTGTTAGAATTAAAAATAAAGAAAATGCTACTTTTAAATTTAGAATCTGTCTTTTTTATAGGTATGATTGTTCATTGTCTTTTCTTGTTTTTGCGCAAATACATTATAAAATATTTTCAATCTATCTATATCTCAAATATTTTTCAATGCAGTTGCTCATAAAGCGCTATTTTTTTAATCCATTGTAAACACCGAAAGTGAGTCTTTAAACACGTGTTAAATAAAAATGTACTGAAATCCTTTACTGCACAGGTGCTTAAAAGAATTTTTTAATTTTTTTTGACCGAGCACCAAAGAAATTTAAAAAAAAATGATGAAAATATGTCAAACTTTAGAGGCAAAAGTATTTCAAGGAGGCTAGAACAAATATTTTCTAATAAATGTATGACAATGAAATGTATGACACGAAAACATGTTCAAATATCACGTTTAATTTTAACAAATAATTTTTACCTTTAATACATACTTAGTTTTATTAAACTATATATTTGTTTTATTTCCTCGCAAAAAGCATTGAAAAATGTTGTAAGAAACTTCAGCGTAAAAGGTTTTTCGAGTATGACACGAAAACATGTTCAAATATCACGTTTAATTTTAACAAATAATTTTAATCTTTAATACATACTTAGTTTTATTAACCTATATATTTGTTTCATTTCCTCGCAAAAAGCATTGAATGTTGTAAGAAACTTGAGCGTAAAAGGTTTTTCGAATTCGTGCCAATGAAAACCTTCGCTACGCTCGTGTTTTCAATTTGGCCCTTATTCGTAAAACCTTACTATCCTCACTCGTATCTTAAATAACTATTGTTAATTTAAAATAAAGTGGAATGATAAAGAGAACCGAATCGCTGTGATTGCATTATATAAAGTAAGTATGGAGCCAAACATAAATTTTCAAACGCTTGGTATAAGTCAAATGTTTGTATAACTGGCGATTGATAGATGCAATTAAAGCACCAATAATTATTTTTTCTATCACAAATTAGACAGATTTAGCCGTCCACGTGGTGTTCGTACGAAAAAGGCGATTAAAGCAGTGAGGCAAAGAATTTGAAGAAATCCTATCGGAACGCAAAAGATTTTATTTCGGGAGATGGAGATAGCACCTAGAATAATATCGCGTATTTCAAAAGATGACTTAGGGGATCTGCAACCTATAAGAGACGCACTGATCACTTCTTAACAGACAATTTAAAAAAGAATATGGTGGTAAATTCAAAGCAACTACTTAATAGGTCCGTAAACGAAAAATTGTTTACAGATGAGATTTTTTTTACAATTGAGCAATATTTTAACAAACTGATTGTATTTATGCTCAAAGGTCTAAAGTAGCTTCACGTTTAGTCAACAGAGTACAATGTGGGCATAATTCGATTTCGGTGATGGTTTGGTGGAGAGTGGAGTGTGAAAAAGGCATCAAAACATCGGACAAGTTTATCAAGATACCATTCTCGAGAAGGTAGTTAAGCCCCTTAACAACACCATGTTCAAACACTAAGAATTATCCTATAATCTAGACTCGGCGCTAGGGCATAAAGTTCGATCTACACAATCTTAGTTAGAAACGAACATTCCGGACTTCATCAGAGCTCAAGTTTGGCCGTCATCCAGTGGAAATCATGATTTATGGTAACTTTTAGAGAGCAAGGGTTGATAATTCAGAGTCCCTAAAACAATTCATACTTAGAAAGAGTGCTATTAATAACTGGCCTCGACGTTTAAAGGACTGTACCTATTGCAACCAATGGAGATCACCTGGAATAAGCTATATATATTTTAATGGTTTTATATTAATCTATTAAACTAACACACTTAATAGTTTTAAATGTTACGTACGATATTTTTTTTGTGTAAGAGTGTATAGTAAATGTAAAGTGCAATTAGTGAGACCAAGCAAAGCAAATAACAGTGCCGTAGTCATAGTGTCGTGCCGCAGAGAGGTGCTTTGTAGTAATTTTTTTTATGGCAACTTCAACTTGTTATCTCCGTGCATTTCTGAGAAAAGTAGTTTTTCTATTTTCTTTACTCTATTTAAATCAAAAATTACTTACTTAGTGTAACCGATTCACCTAGCTTTCTTCCAATAAAATGCACCGGTGGATACAGCCTAAGGGTCTCTAGTATGCAACAGTCAAGATAATGCATTTTCGAGAGATCATTCATTGTAGGAGGTCGCGTGGAATCGCCAAATATTTCATCTAATTCAGTAAAAATCCTTGTCTGTTTGGTAAAACGAAAAAAAAATACAAAAATAAGTCACATGCAATCAAAATACTATATGTACATGCAATATCATCCATCACATCTGTACTATTCATAAACAACTTGTATATCAAAATATTACGTCAGGGCTGTGAGCTAGGTACTTACTTGGATTTCTTTGTCATTAGCGAGACACAGCAAAGAAAATAACAGTGCCGCTGCCGTAGTGTCATGACCCTGAAAGATGCCATCATTGAGTGAAAATACTGTCTATAATTTTATACAGTCACATATAGTATTATCCTATTCGGATTTTATCTCGGAATAGAGATAATAAATTGGAACTCATGTATTTTGGCGTTCTAAAAGTTGCCTAAAAAGTATCTTTTTAATTTCATCATCGTCACATTACCAGCCTATCAATTTCCTCCTAAATCACAGTATATCACTGGTCTCAGGCCTTCCTTATGGATGGAACCGAATCGAATAGGGAGAACGTGTATCCCCGACGCGATCCCAGTGGGTTTTAACGAATGCAGATACAACCAGGACAAACTGTTTTGCGAAGCACGATAGAGCTGGCGATAGTATTTTTTTTATCTCCTAATACATGCTCTGGCGAAAGTTGCTTAACACCCGTAAGCCGTATTGCAGACCAAGCGCATTAACCACTGCTCCATCTAGATCCTCTTGACTATATTAAATATTCTAACTATAAAATTCATAATTAATTACCTCAAATACAAACGTATCGACTTCCTCTTGAATACCATCATTATCTATCAAACCTTTATTCTGAGCTGATAATAATAAATCCAACATAGCAGGTTTCTTTTTAGACTTGAAATATACATCATCATCATCATTATCACCGACGTTATCTTCATTAAAGTTACTTCCATATTTTTCTATGTATTGTTTACGTTTACTTATGATACTTTTAGTAAAACTATGAACAATATCCAAATTTTTCTTTTGTTCTTTAGCGATTTTAGAGAAAGAAAATATAAAATTGAAATGGTAATAAACGTTTGACAATCTTTCGGTAAACCTAATTCCTAAATCGTGTAATGCTTTTTTGTAAGCAAATGCTGCTGAGGATGTAGAGGTTTCATCCGATAATTTCGTTCCCATTGCAGTTTCTGTAATAAAAAAATCTTGTTCAATTAATTTATTTTATATTATAACTAGCTTTTGCCTGAACCTACGCCCGCGTGGTCTAGTTTCAAGTCCAGAAATGAGAAAATTGCATATAAACTTTCACTCCCTAACTTACCCCCTTAACGATTTCTCACTATGACGGGATTTCATAAAATCTCATCTTAGTGAGCACCTACGTCGAAAATGAACCCGCATACAAAATTTGGAACTCCACTTGTAGTAAAAAAGTTTCATACAAACTCTCATCCTCTAATTTTCAAAAATCCTCTCTTAGTGCTCCTCTATACTCCCTAAGGAGCTTCATTCCATATTTCAACTTTCTACGCTCAGTAGTTTCGGCTATACGATGTCTGTCAATCGGTCAGTCACTCAGTAACGCAAGAATTTTATATATAGATGTAGAGATTCCAATAGTTTCACAACAATCCACAAAGGTATATTGGCGCGATGATACAACAGTGCCATTGACAGATAATGATTCCCTGGTGAAAGCGATAAATAAGGATTATCGCCAACTTTCATTTTCATTTTACATGTGGAAATTAATTTATTCACTTGACATTGGCCGAATTGTGTGAAATGCGTTGATAATCCAATAATAAATGAAGAAGAAGAAGCGATAAATAGTGATGTTTTAGCACTACTAGCGCCCTGGGCGAAATTTCTTCGGCGCCCCCTAACTGCAATTCAATTACTACTACATACTATAAATCAGTTACTTGACTTTTTTTCGCCGACCCGGCTTACTTACTTGTAATTTTCCCTAAATTTAGGTAGATTGTTAAGTTGGCAGCATTAGAATGGAACGTAGTGTTCAATCGGTTTAATTTCTCGGGAATCCCCGACTTTCCGACCATACAGAAACAATGTGTTTTTCTATAATCGGGGATTCCCGAGATCTATCTCTTTTAATTTTTGACGAAGCAGAACACAATCAACAATCATCTTCATGCTTGTCATAAGTGGACGCTCTTAAAACAATTATTTGATTATTTAAAACAAACAAACACAGTAATCAAACGTTTAACGCTACGTTACGATGCTCTTGTTCCAACTATAGAGTGACATTAGTTTTATTTAAAAAATAGACATATAAATAGTGTATAAGTAGCTGTTTCATTTTTGACGGATCACATCATTAGGTAAGTACAGATTAATTTTTGCTATCTATACTACACATTCCCTAATACTTAAAGTATATAAGATGTTAAAATAACAGGTTAATTATTGAAATTGGGTCCAGACTCTTTACCCTTGTAACACCCTAACAGGGTGTCACATAATTGTTATGTATAACTTTGTGTAATTGTTGTAACTTTGTGACAGTGAGTTTGCAGTGGGCCACTACTTATTATATGATCAATTATTTTGCTATTTCGAATAAGTGGCCAAGTAGCTGGATCCGCTATATTCGGGACAACAGTATCAACATCATCTAGTACATGTATTTGTTGTACATCAATAACAGATTTATCCTGATCAGCATCTGTAATCGTAGCACTACTTGCTCCCTCACTTCGGGATTTTTCATCCACAATCTCTTGAGTAGCTATTCCATCTGACTTGCCAGACAGAGGCTCCACTGCCGATGCATTCATTTGTATAGCAGTATTTTAGCTTCAGCTTAACGTTTAAACATGCTCAAAACGAAAATTTTCTTAAATGACCGAGCGAAATGCCCGCCAATGTACGTCATCTTACCTAATAAAATACATATCTTCATATTGGTAATCGGTATGTTGTTCTGTTTTACCATAATATAATATTTTTCTTGTTAAGTTTCCTTTCAATTCATGTTGAAAGTGAGGCAACTTGAAAACAAAAAAACATCCTCATAGTTCTTGTCTTTTTTCGCCGACCCAGTAGGCCTTGTTCAATGAGCGAGGGAACTATATATATATATATATAATCTTTGTCTGTGGGAAATGAGGAAGTATTAGAAAAAAAACATTAGTTCCCGAAATCAAACTAGATGTCGCTATGGTACGTTCTTGATTTCTCCATGACAACCCTTCCAGTTTTCTTTCATGTTTAAAAGTAAATTAGTTTTCAAAATTCAATTAACAACTCATATTCTATTTGTACTTTTTCGTATTTGTATTGATATCTAAGTTTCGAACATTTCAAATTTCAGTTTTTTAAATATGTTACTTAGAAGGAACGGAAATGACTGTCTTGCTCCATTCGTTTCCTGCAAAAATCAACTTTTGCTAGAGTCGCCATCTAGTGGAGGTACTTTTGTAGTGCTTTCATTTTTTTAAATATTTCCTCATTATACAGAATCAGAAAGAAGCGCCGAGACGAAAAAAGGGCGCCGCGGCCTGCGGCGCCCCTTTTGGTCCGGCGCCCCTGGGCGGTCGCCCAACCGCGCCCTACCCTAACGCCGCTACTGCATGGTGTTCAATATTTGTACAACACTAATTCGTTAGCCAACTTCAATGGTTCCAACTTCAATTTTCTATCTATTTTAGATTTTCACACAAATTTAGTAGTTTTTTAGTCAACAAGGTGAGTTGATTATAGAGCTGTGTCGATTGATCATTCAGTTGAGGTTATCAGCCATCGAAGTTGCTAACGAATTAGTGAATTTTCTATCTATTTTTGATTTCCATACTAATGTAGTAGTTTTTTTAGTTAACAAGGTGTGTTGATTATAGAGATGTGTTGATTGATCATTTATCGTAACCCGGGTTGGTCATGACCCACTCATAAGGCGATCGGGTGCACCAGTCAGAATTCATAATTCATAGATGCAACTATCGTAACAGGCCTCCAAATGGCATCCGTCAAAATTAGAATTATTTAATAAAGTTGAAAATGTATAATAAATATAAATATAGCGCAATATCAAGTTTGTGTCCTGATTGGAAAATGTTGCCACTGGTTCCGAGTTAACGGCGCGAGTAATCCTTTAAGAACTGGTTTCATTTGGTTCATGTTACCAACGTAAACAAATTAAGAAAGAGAGAGGTAAATGAAGGTAATCAGTTGTGTGAAAACAAAAGAGATAAAGATATCTTGCTTGTTGCATAACTGTTTCATTGAAGTTGTCGGTCAAAAGATCGATTCCTTTACAGATTCATGATTCTATCACTCGATGATTCTATTCGATCAAAACCTAATCAAAATAATTCGATTAATCGCGATAATTAATGTGCATAATATGAGGTTCGACACGGAGACGGGGGTACTTGTATTAGCGAGGGATATATAAAGTGTAATATATGCTAGGACTTCGAGGGGTGGTTAAGTTACCTATATACTGAACAACTTTTACCGTGACACTGAATTCACGAAAAAATTATTAACTGTTTTATACAAAATTGTATAATACCTACGTACATTCTACAATCTCAATCAATATGTATTTTTTCTTGAAACTAGTGCTGCTCCCGTAGTTGTATTTGAAGTAAATAGGAATAAAGAGATTCTTTCGCGTCTATTATTGCTATATATTTTCAGAGTTGATCTTTCAGACTTATATTTTGCAATATCATTATGGCCATAATAATTATGCGTTTTGCAATTTCAATGCGATATTTAGTGGTGAGGCTATACGAAATTACGCTTTTTAAACCAATTTTATTCTAAGGCTATGCTAATCATATTATATAAAATCATATTATGAAAATGAAATATATGATCGATTGCTGGTGAAAAATTGAAACATTAACCGATCGATGTCTGTACATTGAAGATATATGAAAAAAAAAAGTTATGAGGGACGTTTATAAGAGTAATAGAACACAAAACAATGATTTTTAAATTTTTTGTCTGTTTGTCTGTTTGTCGGTTTGTCTGTTTGTCTGTGCGTTTGTGCACGATAAACTCAGAAACGGCTGAACCGATTTAAATGCAGTTTTCACTATTATTTTGCGGCATTCTTCCGTTAACATTTAGTGTAAGATTTATTTCAATCGGTTCACAAATAAAAAAGTTATGTCAATTTGAAGTGACGTGGTCGCCAAAATTGCTATGAAATATTAACTGTTTTATTAAATTTTTGTCTTTGATATATTGATCATCATCATTAACTCTTTCACAGCCAAACTGCAGGGCCTCGGGCCTTTGTTTAATAATTTTTGGTCACCCATCCCGTGAACAACTCTTGCGAAAATTGCTTAGCAATAGCGATCGTGTGCAGCGGCGCATATCCGTAGCGCCACCGAGCTACGAATTAATATTGTCTATAAAATGATAATTTGTATGATGACAAATAAAAAAATAAGATTCCAAAATTTTGACAACTCCGAAGTAAGTTGACCTCATTTATATATGGCCAATCATATTAAATAGGGTTCAGTTTATAATGGACATGTGGTATACGATCACGCGAGTAGGAGAACAAGCGGAGAGAGCCTTCTGATGATGCAATTAAGCCTCGAGTAGTTTACAGTGAACGCATATTTTTATCAGATTAGGTTCACGTCGTCGTCGGGGCCAGCGGAGGTGATTGGCAGCCGCTCCCGCATTGCACGGTTTCGTCTGTCTGAGAGAGGCACTCGATTTACCCGAGTCTCTCCAATTTTCCATCTGGTCCAATACTTGAGTGTCCTGGTGACTCGGCCATAGCTTGCCGGTTTTCATTTACCATGAGAAGGTGTAGAGTACGGATTTTGGTGGGTAGGCCTCTGGGGAACCACCGGGCAGCTCAGTGTCGGGTTCACGGAGGAGAATCCTACTCACCCCTGTAGCTTGCTAGGTAACAGAGACAATGTCAGAAGTTTTTCCACGACGTTAAAAAACTTAGATTCACGTCAACTGAAGTTAAGAACGTAAAGTCAACTCGAGTTATATATATTTTTTTCTCTTATTGCTATTTTTTTATGTTAATACTCTTTTTGTTTTTTTTTTAACATACAAATTGCTGTAGATACGTACTTCAAAGTTGGTATTTTCAGTCTTCGCTGGAAACAATGCTTTATTCATTGGTCACAACACTCATATAATATTACGCGAGTCTGAGGGTCGGTTCAGAGTAGCTCGGTGGCGAAGTGAATAAGTGCCATGGCCCGCGATTGTAGTTGTTAAGCAACTTTCGCAAAAGTCGGGCACAGGATGGATGACCAAAAAATATTATCTCAAGCAACTCCAAGCTTCGGAAGGCATGTAAAGCGATTGGTCCCGGTTGTATTTGCAGTCGTTAATATCCTCCAATCCACATTGGGCCAGCATGGAGGGTCGTGGCCCATCCTCTTTAACCATCCAAAAGAAAGGCCTAAGCTCCTGCAGTTGGTGACGTAAAAGGGCTAATGATGATGATGATGAGGGCCGTTCAAATCTGACAGAAGCTCAGTTAAGCACCTCACGGAAGTATGTTAGTAGACGATTTCCTTCGAGTGTGGAAAGTCGAAATTAAAATATGTATATATATTTTTTTATATCAATAAATAAAACTCCACGTATCTTCCGTCAGACATGTACTGACCGACTTTTATAGACAAAGAAAGAGATCAGACAGAAAGCGCTCGGTCTCGGGAGACACCTGAAAAACGCGAAGCGTATTTAACTGCCCATAGCGAGGCTCATGCACTATAAAGTTGAATCTGAAGCATTTACATACATGCAGTATGGTATGAGTATAAAACTTCTTTTGATAGGGAAATGCGCTTGGTCTCTGAAAGAGCTCGCAGTTTGTACAATAGAGATCGAGAAAGTAGTTTCGATTATCGCCAACCAGTGTTGACTTCATACTCCACAGGCGTACCGCAGATAAGTTTTCACAGGGTATAATGAACTAGCTGTTTTCCCACGACTTTGCCGCAAAATTATAGCCTATGACATGCGCGTCTGATGTAGCTTCCCGTAGGTCGGAATCGCTCTGCAACTATCGGTCCAGTAGTATTGGAGCAAATTCGATGCATACAAACAAACAACCAAATCTTTCCTCTTTATAATATTAGTATAGCTCAGGTATAAGGGGTCCGATGATGTAGTGGGTTAGCGCATTCGGTTTAAATTACAGTTAAATAAGTAAATAAATACTGCACAACAAGGACATACATGAATACTTATTTTACATAAATAAGTACAAACGACAAACTCATCGCTAGCCAGCGATTTCTTCCAGGCAAACTAGCATTACATGAAAAATAGAACAATAAATAGCCGATTGTGCATACAACTAGACAAATAATAATAATTTAAAAAGATCAAAAACAAAAGAAGGACCGTTTAAAGGTACGAATAAAATGCTCAGACACAAGCGACAACCAGAGCGCGAGAAACGCGAACAAATAGAAAAATAACATTCGTAAGGACCGTTTACAGGATGGGTGACCAAAACATTATTATCTTGAGCACTGTGCACAACATAGCATAATGCACGCTAAGCTGTTAGTTCTGGCTGCATCAGCAACGTTAACACCCACCGATCCGCATTAAGCCCGCGTATAGGTTTATGGTCCATTGATCTTATTCGATTCGTCTGTATTCATAGCAAAAAAAGAATTCTACCAAAATACTTCCCACGCAGACGAAGTCGCGGGCACAGCTAGGCCCCAAATTTAGGGCGGAAATAAACTGATTGGGCTTTTTTTGGGGCTCAAGAAAATTTAGGGCTAGTTTTAGTGCTAAAAAAAATAAATAAATTAATAAT